TACACAGAGCCGTAGTTCACTGACAAGCTAGGCAATATCTCGTTCATAATCGAATGCGATTCATCTGCGATTATGAACGCGATATTGCCTAATTGTCAGTGAACTACGGCTCTGTGTATTAAATGCCGCTCCATCTGAAAGCAGGTGATGGAGATTTACTACCAATCACGGGACCGGCTTTACTGACGAGATGCGCATGACAATCGCATGCGATTAATTGCACAGCCCTAATATATACACCATATATTTGCGGTTATGAACTCTAAACATTGTTTTATCTCAATGTAGGCAACCAGAGCGACAGGAAACAATTTCGACAGCTCCAACTATGCAAAGTGAGATTTTGTTGTGAAGTGATTATGATAAGCATATGTTTAATCCATCAGCACAGTTGTCTTTCTCACCATATTTTATTCTGACACGATCGTCTGAAGAATGAGAGACAGAGAAAGCCAACAGGTGAAAGAGAACAAGTCGGATTATACGTGATCGAGCTCAACATTCCTGCCTGGACAAAAATAAAGACGTGATGATAAAAGTTCACTCCGCTGTCCTACAGTCTCTCATCCTCTGTCTACAACTTTCACACGTCCCATAAAATACTGCAGCGTAACTGCATAGCAATTTTCAGCTAAATGCATGGGGTTGTAAAAAGCTGTGAATGTAGCACAAATTAAAATGAAGAGAAGTCACATTCATTCATTACACTTGCTTTTCCTGGAAAGCACTTCTTAAAACTTGTATTGTGCTGGCATCTTGAGATCTCTCGGTCTCTTTCTCTCCCGAGCAGAAAGCATGAGGGCTTTGTTACCCAGCAGTCATGTTGTCCTAACCTCTCTGATCACACAAAAGACACTCACATGCCACATGTAGGCATCCATTTACGCCTCTTTAGAAGCAGAACATCAAAAGAGTCATTATGCCCACAGGAGGAACAATACACTGATACAAACCTCTATCTGCTGCCGGAATCATAAACATCAGTATGCAAATAAACAATCTTTTTTTTTTTAATCGCCTACAAAAGCCTATGCATTTAAATAAACAGACGCAAGATACATCAACCTATCAAATACAAAACTTATAATTTATTCTGAAGTACACCGTGACTATTATGACCCATTTAATATGAATTTGGGTTGGTTTAAACTCTACAGAGACTTTTACTTTTCAGCTGAGAGGTTTTTATACAAAGACACATTTCCTTAAATTTGAATCAAATAATGACGAGAATCTTCATGCAAAAACATATTTGAATCTGTTCATATACTTCCCCTTAAAATATTACTAATTCTGGCACAACCTGTTGCATCTTTACAACACTAACCTATATGTTAATCGACAACAAATAAGAATATTTTCAAACACTTTTAAACATTGTATCTGTAAACATTGAAATTGAACTGGTCATCAGGTCAACTACATATTTTATGCTATTTAAAATGCAACTCTTAAATAACCCATTCTGTGGATTATCTATTCTGTGAAAGGTTCTATTTCATTGTTCTTAAATCTAGTGCTATTTATTTTCCAGAACAAAAAAACCCATGGATTCTGTCTCACAGGTATCTCATTTCAAAGAGCCGAGTGTTTGGGGTCCGACTAATACATACTGTGGGGTTTGTTTTCATCAATAGCTATCATCAGACTGCAACAGTATACTAGAAATTACCCTTTTTCCATGTTAATAAAGACGTACATTTAGAAATCCATAGATTACATAAAGTGGATGTCAACAAAAGCCAACGAAAAACACGTTACGTTAAGTGATTATGCACACCACTAGAAAAAGTTGCATTTACACACAAAAACATGCATTTAACAGCCAAAACTTCAGAGCTTATGACCAGACTAACAAAACACGTGTCACAGAGAAAAACTTGTCCAATTGTTTAATGTTTTCATATTTACGGAGATAAATCTATAAGCGCCCCCAAAGCCAACAGGAACATCATGTTGTGTTTATACAGTTACAAAAAAAACCTAAAGTCAACTCAAACTCAAGGAAAACGGAAATGGTTTCATTCATGGGACAGAGGTTTTTATGCTTGCCACTTTTACACAGGAACAGTTTGAACAGTCTGACTCTAGATACTTTGTTTCAACACACTTTACACTCGGGGAAAAGGAGTGTGCATGCATTCCAACACAAAATCTTTTACGCTTAGATTTTGTAAACTTGTATTTGCACTTTATTTCATAATCTGTTTCCTCACATCATACTCCTTTGTTTAAAACGTTTAACCTTCTTTCAAAATTTTAAAACTTTGTGTATACACTTTAAACGTTGTTTCTTCATCCTTTGGAATTTTGCATTTACTTTGTGCACTTGGATATTTTGTTTCCAGTCTTTAAAATTTGTTTCTACACTCTTCACACTTTTGTATATACGCCCTTTAACACTCAAATAATTTGTTTTAAGTCTTGAAATTTGATTTCTACAATTTAAACTTTATTTCTACACTCTTTACATTTTGGGAAAAGGATTGTTTGTTTGCCCAAACAAAATTGTTTCACTTGGCACTTTACATCTATACATTACGCTTTGACATCTACAGTTTACAGTGAAGTCGAGTTTGTTGTAAAACCTTCTGCTCACTTTAGTCTGAAGGGGAAAGGATCTTTGTGCATTCCCGAACAAAACAAAAGTCGTGTTAACACTTACACTTTCTCCTCATGTATGATGTCTGCAGTGCAGACAGCTGCGTCTCGTGCAGGAAAAAAAATAAGTGAATACACATGAACTTTTCACACTGTTACACTTTTCAGCGGAAGAGGCTCTTCACACAGCACGTCCGTGGCGGTGGGTGAAGACTCTCCGAAGTTTCTTACCTTTTACAGGAGGGCAAAAGCTGCTGGCAGCCGGACACACTAGCAGTGAAACGCATTCTCTTGATGGCAGATCCGCACGGGGCCCTCCATTAGACGCGGGCGCAAAGTGCAAAACAACGGGGGGGAAAATAGTGAGGATACGCAGTTTCACTCGCTTTCTGTCCTAGACGTACAGACGCGTGAATGAGCGGAGTCAAAGTACGTACTCAAACCTTCAGATAACGGTGAAGTTCGTAGTAAGTTAACCCTACCCGTCTAACTGTTTCACTCTGTCCTCTCTTTTCCCTGCACACGTTTACTCTCTACTACTACTACTACTGTCTTTTTCTACACACACGGAGAGAGAGAGAGGGGATCATATTGCTCAGCAGCTCGTCAGAGCAGGAATGTTCCAGCCCTACAGCAGCAGGGCAGAGCTTCAGTATGCAGGGGGTTGCCCTACAGCCGCTGTGTGTGTGTGTGTGTGCGTGCGCTTAATGAATATTACCAACATACCCGCCTGCACCCCTACAACCCCAATCATCCACAGTCTGAATTTGTTTCTAACTGGAATTTTTTTCACTTTAAAATTTATTTACAGTAATATTTAGTTATTTTATTTTAATATAATATTTAAAAATAAAAAATAATAATTTAAAGATTTAATGGTAGCAATGTTTCATTTATTAACATTATTTAACTACTTGAGTTAGCAGGAACTATCAACAACAGATATTTTAAGGGCATTTATTAACGTTTATTAATGTTAATACAACATTTAGCCTACATTTTAAAAATCAGAAACCATCTATCTATCTATCTGTCTGTCTGTCTTACTGTCTCTATCTATCTATCTGTCTGTCTGTCTTACTGTCTCTATCTATCTATCTGTCTGTCTGTCTTACTGTCTCTATCTATCTATCTGTCTGTCTGTCTTACTGTCTCTATCTATCTATCTATCTATCTATCTATCTATCTATCTATCACAGACAAGGACAGTTACAAGAAAGGACAGAGTTTTAAAAGACCATACATGGATTGAGAACAACATACAACTTTTGCATTTGCTTTTGTAGCGCCTGTTAAAAACGAGTCTGTTTGTGCCTTGTTTGAGTAGCTACATTCTGTGGGTCATTTTGGCCTCTGGACCGTTGGTTGGACATAGCTATGTTTTTTGGCTGGGACTATTTCCTCAGCATTTTCTGAGATGGGGGTGTGTGTGAGGAGAAGTTCAGGTGTGGGAGGAATGGCTGACTGGTTATTGTGTGTGTGTGTGTGTGTGTGTGTGTGTGTGTCTGAGTGTGTGTATGTGTGTGCTGGGTGCCTGAGCTTGTGTGTGAAGCAGTCATCTGTTCTGTCTCAATAACATAATCATCTTTGCACATGTGATCATTGGACAAGACCAGTGATGGGACGGCCCACCCGGACCGGTGGACAGCAGGTGCTGCCTGCCTTCTGACAGCCCATTCCGGTGGAAGGTGTGATTCAATTTCTCCAAAGTCTGCAGAGAAACATGCCGTTTGTGGTCTCAGCCAAGTCGAAGAGCCTATAGATGCCTGACACCAGAGAGAGAGAGCTGTTGGAGCGTAGAGGCCCTCTTATCTGACAACTGCTGCTTTCTATTCTGCTTGAGAGGAGCTGGACATGCCAACATGCCCTCGGCGCCCCACTTTTCTCCCTTTTGATTTTTATGTGAAACAGATTTACAGCTGATATCAATACTGAAATATTGTGAAATAAGCATATTTTTAAAAACTTTTAAGTGGTGGTTGCATCACTGTTGTTATTGCTCATATCTATGGTTAGTTATTGAACAAGTATTATACTTGGCATGTAACTCGTCCCATGCTGTGAGTGTTGAGTGTTATCTGTAGGGATGGCCAGATCAATCCTCACATAGGAATATTAATTTCAAAAGTTTTTTTTTTATTATTATACTAAAGATTTCTTTTTAACCTGAATGTTAATGCATTTTATAAACTTTGAAATAAAAAAGAGCTTTGTATGCAGAACGCTGCATTCAGAAAAAAAAACAATGTTAAATAAACACAAGAAATGTGGTGAAAAGTCAAAGGTTTGGAATAATTATAATTTAAAAATATGATAGAAGTCGTTTGTGCTCAGCAAGGCTGCATTTATTTTATTGATAATACAGTAAAAACAGTAATATTGAGAAACATTATTACATTTTTGAAATAACTGTTTTTATTGAAATGTATTTTAAGATGTAATTTATTTCTGTGATGTAAAGCCAAATTTTCAGCATTATTACTCCAGTTTTCAGTTTCAGAAATCATGCTGATATGGTGCTCAAAAAGCATTTCTTATTATTATCAATATTGAAAACAATTATGCTGCTTCATATTTTTGTGGAAACCATGATACACTATTGTACAGAAGTTTGGGGTAAGAAAGAAAGAAAGAAAGAAAGAAAGAGAGAAATAAGTTAATACTTTTATGTAGCATTAAATTGATCAAAAGTGATAGTAAAAACATTAAAAATGTTACAATGTTACAAATGTACTTGTTATTTTAAAATAAAATAAATATTAAAATAAAAAGTGTTCTTTTGAATTTTTTTATTCATCAAAGAATCCTGAAAATCATCATATGATACTAAAGATTAGAGCAGTAGAGTAATATTTAACAGTTTTACTGTTTTTGCTCTATTTATTTTTAAATACATGCAGCTTCGGTGAGCATAAGAGACTTCTTTTAAAAGCATAAAAAAATCTTAATTATTCCACACATTTAATCGGTAGTTCTACATTTGATGATCATGTTCTATAATTGGTTATAATGAATGGAAAACAAAATGGGCATAATACCCATTTCATCTCCATAAATCACTCAAATTTTCAATTTTACACAGGTGTTGGTACAGTAAGCAATAATGCAAAAACTCAAATCCAAAGCAACACTCACACCAAAAACTTGGTTTAAAATATCTAGTTTTAATTATCCTCACACAATGTGGTTCTACACCTGTTTTTTTTTTTTACTTTTTCCTGGCCCATATTTAGTCTTTGCCCCAACAGTTCAATTCCTCTCATCTCTCTGCACCTCAGCACAGAGCTTCCGCCTTCTTGAATGGGATTTTGTCAGGGAGAAAAGCTCAGCCCAAGCTAAGAGCAGCAGGCTGTCTGTGTGCCCTGCGCTGCATGGATCTAAAGGCCTCTGTATTGGGCTGCATGGATTCATCAGGTCCTGGAATGAAATCAAAGGTGTTCACATGAACCAGACTCCAGGAGAGGAGGTGTAGACCTCTCCACACACAGGTCATGTATGTAACATCTCTCTGTTCAGCCCGGAGATCTTTCTCGCTCTAGTTCATTGCTTCTGTTTTGCCCTCCTTTCCTCTGGCTTTGTGTTTTGGGCCGGTGGGAGTGTGTGTGTGTGCACGTGAGAAGGAGAGGGCTACTGCGTGGAGGGGGGGATCGAGGGGAATAATTTGACACAGTCTCATGTGAAAGGCCAGAAAGCGGGCAGTCCACGGGGAGCAGGGGTCTTCATACAAAAGAGTTTGGAGGGGGTCAGGCACAGCAGTGAGAGACTTAGAGAGGCCGGCTACATAGATTCCTCCCTGGCCCTGCAGTCTCTGTTTCTCATACCAACGTGTCAGTTCAGAATGAGAAACCATTCTGCATGTGTGCTTCTGAAAAGCATTTATTTCATGATTCCACTTTAGCTATGACTTTTTAAAGCCTATGCAAATAAGAGCATCAGAATCGAAATTGTAGCCTACCTGGGACCTTTTAGGACCTTCCTTTCATGACATTTAAGCCTATTCTTCTTCCAATTTTCATTGCCACATTGCAACGTGATCTTATGGTAATGCATAAATATGAATGAAGTATTATTTCAAATGTGAAATATTTATACATTATGGTAGTATTTGTGGTACTGCATGGGTTTTATGCTAATTTTGATTATTTAATTATTCAAATCATTTGTATATTACATTAAAAAAGCTGCACATATCTATTAAAGTTGCATAAATCTATATCTAAATCTGTTTCTATCTATATTATTTTAATGATTGGTTTGTCTTATTTTAAATCACAAAGTCATTTTGAAAATTAGACATGATTAAATAAATAAATATATAGTGCGTGATGTTTTAATATGTATGTTTGTATGTATTACGGCATTGATTTTATGCCATTTTATGTGATTTTAATTTTAATTTTTTAATTTTGTACTGCATTAATATTTCAGTTGTAACACAGGAAAATAAAAAGTCTAGAAATCACATTTTAAAAATTTTTTTAATTATTATTATTATTATTATTATTATTGTTTGCTTATTTTAATGCTTGGTTTGTAATCTTTTTTTTTTTAATGTTTCCTTTTAATTTAGGAGTGAAATATAACCTAGACAACTCTTTTGTGATTTTGTGATTAGTTGAACAGGAAAACACAAACAGCCCCAAAAATAAAATCTTAAAAAAGATCCTTTGCATTCCAACGCTAAATCTTAAGCACCTTAAAATTAGCCACTGTATCAGAAATCCCCCACATGCCCCTTCTGTACTGTGCTCAACCCATGGTCCTGTTTATTGGTTGCTTTGTGTGAGTGTGTCTCCCGGGATAATCAGGATCTGATCACTGTCAACAGAGTGTTTACGAGCTGCAAAGCAACACAGGCTAGTGTTGACTTTTCCAGTGGGGGCCGTGATGCTCCACTGTCTCTCCTCCTCTCCTACTATCAAAAGGTCATTAGAGATAGCAGGAGTGCCATCAGGGCTTTGGGTTAGACTCAGAGGTCAGAGGTCAGAGTACACAGCTAAATCAAACCTTGGAGAATCCTCAACCTCGCACAGGAATGTGCGTTCTTATGTCAAAGGTTAGCTTATTAAATCCTGCCTGGAAGAACTCATCCTAATGTACATGTTTGGAATTCAATTTTTATGAATTTCTAACAGCAATATAAAGACAGTTACTTTGAATATACATTGTAGATTAGAATAAACTTTATGAATCCCAAGAGAGAGAAAGTGCAGTGTTGCAGCAGCAGTAAAGTTGCTACCCAATGTTATGTGTTTTGTGTTGTGAAACAGGATATTTGTGATTTTATCATGGGACATTGATTGGATCATTAAAATTGGTCACTAGGTGGTCAGAGAAGAGGGAATGAAATCCAACAATAGAAGGAAAGTCATTGAAGAGGCACAGAAAGTTGTTATTTTTGATTTTTTTTTTTAATACAAATAGAAACATCAAACCAGAAAAGTGTATTAAAGACAATTTCATGTTGACTTTATTATTAAAATTTACAATTTACAAAATGCAAAATAGAAAAAAACAGAAATACTACATAGTTAATATAATTAATTAAAAAGTTAAAAATAAGAAAT